AGTGGTTTTACGCCGATTTTTGATGTAAAAATAGCATATTTCCTATTAAAACCCATCTAAAAATGAAATTTAAAATAAGAAAATATACGGTAAGTCCAATATATTTGATGTTTTGTAAGCGAAAACACGGTAAATCCAAATACTAAGCAAAAACTTAGTATATCACATGAAAAATAATGGAGTTACCGTTTATTGGCTTATGTTCATACATTGGTAAAAAAGGGTATGTACGTGACATAACTTCAGTCAAATTTTATAAATAAAAAATAATGATTATTTGGTATATTATTTTGTCATTTACTTAACTGATATTGTTAGGTTTGGTTTGGTTGGGTTTGGTTGGGTTCTATATAGTGCGTTAGAGCAGCCTAACGGCCACAATAAATGTATGCCGCTTGGCATCCATTTTATGTGGTAGTGTTAGTTGTACCATTTCGAGGTAAGACCTGGTGGTACAACTTTGCGGTGTTCGCAATAACGTCCGCGGTTTAGTTTGGTAAAAATTTTGACTTAGAAGTTTTTTATCCTTCATCACCCCACACCCCGGAACCTTTGATAGTGCCTAGCACGTTCAAAAACCGTCGGATTGGTGTCGGACCAGTGGCGATCGCCTAGTGGGGTGAGTACAAGTTACCACCAGAAAGTGGTTTTTTGACCCCCCCACTTCAGTTTTTTGAGATCGCTCTATCTCGGTGGGTTTTTGCGATACAAAGCTGGTTCTTTCGGGAATAATTTTGGTTTCTAATTCCCTAAGTGGTACGCCATCACTCTTAGGGTCTAAAATCCCTTCTATGGAATTTCCCTCATTTTTGGACCGTTAGAATCCAAATTTGGGGATTTTGTTCGTAGAAGCAGAATAGCTGCCCATAGCGATTTTGGAAGTTCCCGGACCTCTACAAGTGGTATATTCGCTCCCATGTTCAAATCTCTGTAATTAGCAATGCCTTCGGATTTGCTAATGGACGGAGACGTTGGACAGGAGGGCGCGGATGGCGAGGTTTTCAGGGATGCGGTTGGGTCAGTTAAGGATCGATTAAAGGAAGCAACGATGGAGGCAATGAGGGATAAGCAATGTGTGAAGTCGGTGGATAGTCTTGACAGCGAGTCGCTGGAGTATACGTCCAACTTGCTTGAAGATTTGGAGAAGAGTGTAAAGGAGGAGATGGCGAGACTGGGCAGGAGACTGGATCAGATGTCCTTATTCCTCAAGTCGGCTGCAGGCAGGAACGTACACACTACGATCAAGACTCTGATTTATGATTCTGAGAGGATTTGCAAAAAGGTCATTGAGGTGCAGGACCTAGCTGAAAAGACGAGGTCTTCTTGGCAAAGGAAAATAATTGAAGGCTTCGAAAATACGGTAGTGCAGAAGACGTCGTTAGATGACTCTAAACTGGACAAGATTTATTCAGCTGTTGAAGAGTTGAAATGTTCGGTGGAGGGTCACCTTATGGCGCAGCCTGCGAGGATTAAAGAAGACAGGGCTGATGCTGGACCATGGGTGGAAGTTGTCAGGAGAGGAAAAACTCCTGGGAAACCGGAGGTATCGCGTGGTGATGATCGCAAGGTAGGTGTGGTGGGCAAGACCACTAGGAAGAAGCCTCCTGCGGTCATGGTCAAAACTGATGCAAATTCTTACACTGATGCTCTCAGGAGAATTAGAGCTGATCCGGAGCTGAAGGAATGGGTCGGAGATATAACGGCAATGAGAAAGACTGAGGCAGGTGGATGCGGCTATAAGGCGTGCAATTGGTGGAGTAGCTAGTGTAACGACGCTCAGGCAAACACAGAGACTAGGGGTGTTTGGCTTGGACGAGCTTACAACTGTGGAAGAGGTGGAGAATGCGGTGTGGTCCGCGTCAGAAAGTGGGCAATCTGGCGAAGTCAAAGTGGTACTCCGACATTTACCTAGAGGACAACAGATGGCGATAGTAACGGTGGATTGTGACTTGGCGAGCAAAATCCTACGCCAAGGAAGGCTCTGCGTAGGATACGTTTCTTGCAGAGTGAGGCAGTGGGTCGATGAAAAGAGGTGTTTCAAATGTTTAGTATACGGACACGACTCTAAAGTTTGCAATGGTCCTGATCTCACTAGGTGCTGTCGTGGATGTGGCCAAGAGGGTCACTTCATTAAGGACTGTGTGGAGTCTGAGGAGAATCGCAAGACTTTCCAGGGGACACTTAGAAGCAAGAAGGTCGTCCCAGAAGATCACCAGGATATTATTTAAAATAAATGCCTAATTTCAATAGAACAAGTGGAGGATATGAGAATCAAAGCTCTCGTGTTATTACTTTCCTGCAGGGTAATCTTAACCATTGTCAGCTGGCCCAGGACCTATTAATGCAACAGATCCGCCAGGACTGTTTGGATGTAGTTGTATAAAATTGTAATGAGGCAACTGAAAGGTAAGTCGAATGTGTCTGGGTTAGACGAAAAGAGTACGCGAGAAGTAGTCGAGACACTCTTCCCGGTTCGACCCGCTTTGTCGTCGCTGGATAACCAGGAAGAATGGGCTGTGGAGTATTTTTCACAAACGGAAGTAGATGCGGCGGTGGCCCGCTTCAAGGGGCGCAGGAAAGCGCCAGGTTTGGATGGTGTTACGAGCGGCATTTTAGCAGTGGTACACACCATTGAACCTTCTCACCTATTAGCAGTTTTTAATGCATGCCTTAGATATGGAAGATTTCCTGATCGTTGGAAAAGGGCCAGGCTTGTCCTGCTGCCTAAGACAAACAAGCCCAGAGGTATACCATCCTCCTATCGACCTCTGTGCTCTTGGACGATGTTGGAAAGCTATTGGAATATTTAATAGTTCAAAGATTGGAAGCTCATCTGGCCAGGAACGGCGGACTAGCAAGCGGGCAGTTTGGGTTCAGACGAGGTCGGTCAACAGACGATGCTCTTATTACTGTCAGGGAGCTGGCGCAAAAGGCCGTTAATGCCTATAAAGCTTGCCTGGCAGTAAGCATAGATATTAAAAATGCATTTAACACAATCGGCTCGGATCACGTGCTAGCGGCACTAGACAACTGGGATGTCCCACGATACTTAACAAGGCTTCTGCGGTCGTATATACTGGTTGTATATCACAGTTCGACTCTGTTTGAGCCACTTCAACACGAAGTCACATGTGGGGTACCGCAAGGTTCGGTGCTGGGTCCTCTTCTATGGAACCTAGCGTACGATAAGGTAATTGGAATGGAGGTGCCAAATGGTGTTCAATTGATAGGATTTGCTGATGATACAATGATAATGGCGGAGGCAGATGATGTAGAAGAGGTGTCGAGTTTAATGAACGCGACACTGGAACGAGTTGCAACGACAATATCAGTACTTGGACTGGAGGTGGCGGTGAAAAAGACGGAAGCTGTATACTTCCGCAGGAAGTACAAGGACCAGGTGCCGCAGATACATCTTATGGGTTGTGCTGTCCCGATCAGTGACAGCATGAATTCTTATGAGATCTTATGTTTAAGCAACATGTAAAGGAGGTATCGGCTAAAGCAATGAGAGTGGCGAACGGACTCAGTAGGTTGATGCCAAATATTGGTGGCCCACAAGAGACTAGACGCCGGTTGCTAAGTTCGGTGGTACACTCCGTCCTACTGTATGGCGCTCCGGTGTGGGCGAGCGCGCTTCAGTATGTCAAGGCGAGTGTTGATACATTAAGGAGTGTCCAGAGACGCGTTCTACTAAGAAACATCAGGGCATACAGAACAGTGAGCCACACCGCGACGAACGTTTTGGCGTCGATACCTCCTGTAGAGCTATTGGCAGTGGAGCGTGCCAGAGCGTACTCGTACAGAGGTATCCGCGGGACAGAGGTAATGGATTGGAGGCAGCAGTTGAGGAAGAGGACGATGAGAGAGTGGCAATCGGAGTTGAGTGCTGCAACGTCGGGAGAATGGACCAGGAGATTACTACCAGAAGTAGAGGGCTGGGCAACGAGAAGGCATGGATCTCTCAGTTTCCACCATACACAAATGCTATCGGGTCACGGCTGTTTCTCTGATTACTTAGTAAAAATAAAGAAGTCCACGGATTCAATTTGTTTTGTTTGTCAGGAGACAACGGACAGTGCCGAGCATACTTTGCTGTACTGCCCGGCTTGACATGAAGAGCGGAGAATTCTTGAAGAGGCCTTAGGACAGGTAACCGTGGAGACAATGTGTAGCAAGATGTTGCAGTCCCACGACGGGTGGAGGGCGGTGGAAAATTTTGCCTGTACCGTGCTAAAGAAGAAGGAAGAAGTAGAAAGGGAGTTGGAGCGCATGGCTGGTGCTGGACGGCGGGATCCGTGATCCGGTCCAGGGAGACGTACCACATATTCGCTGAAATGATCCACTCGTACGAAGAATATAGATGAGAATATTGTAAAGTGTAAATACTCTTAAGAGTTAAGTTTTTTATGGTTGTAAATATGATTGTATTGTTAGATGGAAATCATCCTTAATTATGTATATATAGGTAATAGGTTATAAATTATATAAGTAGATGTTTAAGAAACAGTGTTATATTATTATAGTTGTTAAGATGAGATATTGTCATAGTTGTAAGGCATTGATGTTATAATTGTAGTTGTTCTGTCATGTAATATTGTAAAAACGATGTATTGATATTTTTCTGAATACACGGTGTCGGGTGTCCCGGGGGAAGTAATGCTTAACGGCGAGTTCCCCCCGGGTCATCTATGGACACACATGCACTTAAAAAAAAAAAAAGGGTTTGGTTGGGTTGGGTTAAGAATATTATGGTCTCGACATGGTCATCACTCTATTAATCCTTATTATTTATTCACGATAATACATTGAATGTTTAGTTTAAAAATATTACAAAATAATTTATAAAAACTAAACGATTAAAATTAATTATGGATTTGGTGAAAGCACAGGCCACAAATCAAACAAACGAGCTAAATCTAATTGTAAGTTATATTTTTTCAAACTAACCATTTATATTTATTTAATAATTTAATATTATTGTCGTAAAATATACATTATATCCAAATTTAAGAGAAAAAATAATTTATAATAACTCTTGTTAGGTATTTACTTTTTAATTTTATATATTTAAGAATATATTGTGTGATACAGAAGATAAATTAGAAAATGATAATAATTATAGTAAAATTATAAATTCAATAATTGTTGATAGCATTAAAAACCCTAGTTTAATTGACAGCTGCAACCAACATGAAACCATTGGTCCCAAGTCTTATACAAATCTTGAGGTAAGTCCATTATAAGATAAATAATTATTTCAAATGAATATATTATTTTTCCAGTTAATTTATGATTAAATGTTACAAAAATTATGTATATTATATTCATTATACCCAATTAATACTTAGTTACTTTGTTACTTGTAGAATCTATGTCATGTACAAGATATGAAATATACACATACAAATAATTTGAATATAGAATTGTTAAATGATATTCAAAACACTGCCACTTTTGTTGAAAACCTTGATACTGAATTTGACTTTCAAGATAAAACTGATGCAGGTTTTAAACAGTATACAAATATTGAGGTAATAAAATTGATTAAATAACTGTAAAACCAATTTATATTTTAATTAATTTAAATTCAATTTTTAATAATTATTAGAGTTTCCAAGATAATATAGCTTTACCTTTAACAGTTGAGAATTATAATATTACTAATACTGACTATAATGAGATTTGTGTTGGAAATAATAATATTGAGAATTGTGATGGAAATTCTAATAGTGGTCAAAATTAAGGATCGATTAATTTCTCAAATGCAACAGTTTCTTCAGAATCAGACATTTTTGGAAATACTATGGTAAATATAATTTTTTACATAATTGTTAGTAAATAAAATAGGTAACTACTTATTTTAATTTGTTTATTTTAATATAGAACAATGAATATGATAGTGGAGTATCACACATTTCAGGTAGTGATATCCATGGTGAAATAGGAACTGGTGTAACTAAAAAAGGAACAAAGAGGAAGCGCCGTCGTTATACAACTACTATTACTGAAAGGAACAATATGAAAATGCAATTAAAACGTGATAAGCATAAGCTACGGTCCCCCTGTTGTATAACTTGTAAAAAAAATTGTATACAACATATTCCTGAAAGTTTGAGGACCGAAATAAATATGCAGTACTGGACTCTTTCAAAAAAAGAACAAGGGTTATTTGTTGTGAGCTCAATTGAAAGAAAATGTGTACAGCGTCGTAGAGGAGTAGTTAATAATGAAAAAAAAAGGAATTGGTCATTTTCTTATTTATTGAAAAACTCAGATGGGTCATTTAAATATGTATGTAAGCAATTTTATTTAGCAACTTTGGGATTTTCCAAGAACAATAACTCTTTTATTCAAAAAATTTGTTCAAGCAGTGAAAATAATAGTTCTATAATTGTATCTCCATCAAATAATTCTAAACGAGAACCGTGGAACAAAATAGATGTAGAACCAATTAAGTCTCATATAAATTCATTCAATCCTTCAGTTGCACATTATAGAAGAGAACATGCACCTTTAAAAAAATATTTGTCAAATGAAATTACAGTCACATCTATGTTGTCTGACTTTAAAGAAAAAAATCCTGATTTTAAGTGTTCATATGATATGTATAGGCAAGTATTAAAGAAAATGAATATATCATTTACAAAACTTAGACATGAAGAGTGTGAGTTATGTGAAACTTTCTTTCAACATGACCCAAATCATAATAGACATAATGCTCAAGAAAACAGTGACTGTGATGGATGTAAAAAATGGTCATTTCTTTTTGAAATGTACACAAACGCCCGTATTAAATATGATGAACAATAAAAAAAAACCAAAAATGGTAAAGTAAAAAATTATACTTATTTGAATAATTATATTCTTGTATTAAAACTTCTGAATTATTTTATTAGGAGATGAATTGTATGTATCGGTCGACTTACAAAAAGTCATCATGTTACCAAGAATGGACAACTTCAAAGCTGCAATTTTCACAAAGAGGGTCATAGCATTTAATGAAAGTTTTGTTCCAGTCGGACCTAGAAGTTCAATTAAACCCTTGGCAGTAATATGGCACGAAGGAATAAGTGGTAGAAAACAAGAAGACTTGACAAGTTGTTACTATGCTTTTTTTTTATTTTACAAAGACATAAAAAAAATAACTATTTGGTTAGACAACTGTTCTGCTCAAAATAAGAATTGGTGCTTGTTTACATTTTTAATTTTTATGATTAATTCTCAAGAACTTGAAACTATGGTGATCGATATTTTCTATTTTCAACCAGGCCATAGTTTTATGTCTGCGGATTCATTCCACCATCAGGTTGAACTTTCCATGAAACAAATGGGTAAAATCTATGACTTTTGTGATTATGAAAAATCAATAAAGAATTCAAATAAAGGCCATGTTGATGTTAAAGTATTAGATGACAAAGATTTTTTTGATTGGAAGTCAGAATGCTCTATTTATAAATTTAAAAAAAATATTAATCGTCCAATGTTGAATAGCTTAGTTCATATAAGAGCGGAAAGAGGACTCAAATACTTATTATATTCTTGTACATATGATGAGTATACTCCATTAAGAATGCTAGACTTTTTAAAACCTTCATATTTAAAAAATGATTTTGTAAGACCACAGCAAAAAAATGAATTAAGAGGCATTCAACCAGAAAAAAAACAAAGTATTATACAAACACTAGTCCCACTTATGCCTAAGAGCAGACATCAATTTTGGTTTGATTTTCCTACATCAGATTTAGTCAATGACTTATATGAAGAATCTGAAAATTAGAAACTGCTATATGAAATTGTATAATGTGATAAATTGTGATAGGAACCAATTATTAGTATAACATAATAAAGTATATTATATACTTTATTATGTTATCATAAATTTATATTTTGTTTTATTTTTAGCATTTTATACTAACTGTTATTTTATTATTTAAAATTTAATTTATTTTAATTGTTTTTAGTGATGACCAGTTAAAATGTATGCTGATTGTTTTATTTTGTTTTTTAAAAATTTAATAGGCTTTAAAGTAAAATTCTAATTGTTTTATAATAATTTTTTTATAATAAAAATTATTATTTGTTTGATAAAATTGGAGTTACACGTTTTTTTACATACGAATAATGTTGTATGATCATAGACTTAAATAAGTTATGTCCAAAAAAATCTAAGCAATAATCCGGTAAGTCAACTTTTATGGAGTTATCAATTTTTTGCTTAGTACTCCGATATTAATTTTATGATAAGTCCATTTTCTCCTTAAAAAACTCAAAAAAGTTGAAATAAAAAGTGTACAACCAATTCTAGATGTAAAATTAGATACATCAGCACAATGTTTGACCGATTTTTTGTAAAAACGCCATTTTTAGACTTGATTTACTGTTAAAAATGTTTTTTTGTGTTCCTGAAAAATCATGTTGACTGGAGTTATCCTTTTTTCGCTTATCACGGCAGTATAGTGATAGGATCCTTTATATTTATTGAAATTATTGAATCTAAATGAGATAAATATAAAATGATTTGAAAATTTTATTCTAACTCAAAAAAAAAATGCAAAATATTAATTGCCACAGACGGATTTGAACCTCGTACCGTATGCATAACAAACACTAGTGTTACCGACTCGGCAACTATTCGTTGTTTTCGTCGCTCGATAAAATTGGCTATTTAAGCTAACTCAAATTTAAAAATTACTTTTTTGACTTTAAAAAAATAAAAAAATTTTAATAAGTTTAATTCCTTATGTCTTATGAACTTTATTCAATGTCAATGAAATTATATAATATTCATGAAAGTCAGTTTATTCCCCTAATAAAATATTTTAAAATAAAATAAAATACAAAACCTAGAATTTTAATAAAAAATAGCATATTTTTAAATACGGTAGCCTTTTGCGCATAGAAGATAGGTCGTCGGGACAAATTTTTTTTTTTCATTTAGTAGTACATAAAATAATCTTTAATTTGATTTATGTTTAAAGGACGCAGTATATCCGGAACATTTTCAAAAATTAAGTTGAAAAAGTTAGTTTTTGTAAAAAAGTTGCAATTTTAAATCCCCCCTGTGAGCAGAATAAGTGTTAGATTTTCAAAAAAAAATGATATCAAATGAAAGAAAATTACCTAAGGTTTCAATATAAAGAAATATTATTTTGATTAGTTAATATTTGAAAAAGTTATGGCAGTTTTAAGTACAAAAAACATCGTTATAAAAGGTGATTTTTATCGCAAATATTACATTTTTTTTATAATTTCGACAGCCATTTGCACATAGAAGATAAGGTGTCGGGACAAATTTTTTTTTTTCATTTTATAGTACATAAAAAAAGCTTTAATTTGATATATGTTTAAAGGACGCAGTATTTCCGGAACATTTTCAAAAATTAAGTTGAAAAGGTTAGTTTTTGTAAAAAAGTTGCTATTTTAAATCCCCACCAGTGAGCAGGTTAAGTGTTAAATTTTCAAAAAAAAAATGTCAAATGAAAGGAAAATATGTAAGGTTTTAGTATAAAAAAAAATTATGTTGATTTGTTGATTTTTGAAAAAGTAATGGAAGTTTTAAGAAAAAAATGATAAAATTTACCGAATTATAAATTTGTATTTTTTTTTGGAGATTTCCCCCATTTGCGAAAAACGAGGGAACATTTTTTAATTTTAAGGGTAATGTCTCCAAATAGATACGATTTGTGATCTTTTGACGTACTTTTGAAAGAAATCGGTCCAGTGAGAGCTAAGAAAAAGTGGCAACAGACATAAAAAAAAAAAAAAACACACATAGTAAAATTAATACCTTCTCAGCTTCGCATCGAAGCTAAAATCTTCTATGCTTTTGAACCATCCTAAAATACATTTACTTATAGATATGATAATAATGGTTAATAACTTTTCTTTTTGATTAATTATTATTTCCCTAACTTTAGTTTTGCTTAGCCTATCATACTGTAACTTCAGCTTCAACGATTCCATTTTTACAGTACTAAGTCTCATATATAACTTTCTTTGATTTTGAGCTTGAACTTTTAGCTCTTTTTCATGCTCTACTTCTATAAAAACTTGCTTCAATATATTGATTGTAAGTGATTCTGCTATTGGTATAATTGTAGTTTCAATATCAATCAACTATTGTCAAATGTATTCAAAAAATATATTTAATAATAATAATTGATTTTAAGTTTAAGTAAAATTAAAACTATATTAAAAATATTATTAATTTAAAAAACTAAAAAAATATTAAAAATATTAAACTCAAAGCCACAAAAAAAATTAATGAAAAGTCGCGGATACGTATTTCGGAAACAATGTTACCAGACTTAAAGTTTAATTATTATTTGTCATTTAATATCTTTAACACTAAATAGCTATCGAAGGTAAATAGTACAATGAATGTTAAGTTTATAAATTTACATCTATATCCTTCACTTGAGTTGATACATTAATTCTTCTTATACAGATTTCTGAAAATAATGGCTGAACACAGCCTATTTCAAAAGTTTGTGTACTATTTGTAGATGTGCTTGGTAAAGTGAAAACCTAAATAATAGTATTTATTATATTCATATTAAACTAATTGGATAGAACTAAAAAATTGTACTTACAAAAATAGCATTATATTTATTTAAGCAGTCTAATGGTTAGACGTATGCTCTCAAGTTAGTGAGCCACTAAAGAGATAGCCATCCCGCAGGGGAATTCTCAAGAATTACGGGACTANAATTGTACTTACAAAAATAGCATTATATTTATTTAAGCAGTCTATTGGTTAGACGTATGCTCTCAAGTTAGTGAGCCACTAAAGAGATAGCCATCCCGCAGGGGAATTCTCAAGAATTACGGGACTAACAACCACGCGGACACTAGTTATTTCAGTGGGGGTGACAACACGTACCCGTGCTCTTAGCCGGTCATGACTTTGGTTAGTTGGGACCGGTAGGCCTGGGCACACCTGCTTGCTAACAGAGAATAGGCCCCCCTAACCCAGCCATACCATGTGAAAGGGTTGCTAACTTGTCACAGGGTAGTAAGCCGAAAGGTAAAGTGACCATTGGGATCCTCTATGGCACCTGGCGCATTATAGAGTATATAGCCTTATCAGAGTATCGAGCTCTCCTGTAATGGACCTTTATTTCTCAATTACTCGTGGAAATTATATGGATGAAAACATAGAAACACCACAAAAGAACGAACTTGAGACAATCAGGGATTCTACGGACAACCTGTGGGAATAAGAACATGAACTGGCGACTCTTCGCAGAAGAATCGCCGAACTTGAAGGTCTTAATGCGAACAACGGGACACTTGGTGAACCGTCTACTACCAAAGAGACCGCAACGTCAATAAATGAAGATCAGGAATCGCAAGATCAACTGGGAGCAATAGCTGACAAAATCGAGGGTCTAAAACTAAGCAGTACCCACTTATAGGAACGAGATAACCGATGATAAAAAAGTAGCTCTGGTCCTCGAAGGCTTTTTTTTTTTTTTTTTTTTTTTCGACCGGCATTATTGTGGCCCGTTTGCTGTGCTCTCACTGTGGTGGAATCGGGCTCTACGGGGCTACGAGCTTTTGGGGAATCGGGCGCGTCCTCCGGTTGCGGATCGAGGAACGGCCTGTAGATATGTAGGGTAGTCGCGAAATAAGTCACTCTATTTTTAATAGGGTGGTCGAATAAGCGATAGCGTTCGAGAGAAACATAGAACTGGGTAGGCGGACCCATTAGTCTGGTAAGGCGACCGCCTAAGGGAGGACAACCCTGAAAAAAAAACTACGAGCCTGGCGGTAGGTTAAAAACGCATGGAAAGTATACCCATTAAAAAAACCCAATATGGATAGGATAACTGGAAATATTGTTACCGCCCCAGTGCTATCGTATGGCACAGGGGACGTCGGCGGGGGTTCTTGTAGCCCGGCTCTCGTTGACGCCGACCAAGGGCGATGCGATGTGGAGGCCCCACAACCCAACTTGGGTATAAATAGGAAGGGAAGATTCACTATCACCGAGGAGCTGGTGGATGAATGGGCTGATATTCGAGATAGGTATAGCAACGATATACCTCTCACGGAGTCAGAATATGTGCGCTGGGAAGAAATAAGGCGCAAGATGGAGGACGGAAGCGAGGTCGAAAACTGTTTCCCTCGTCAAAGATTCCGCAACCTAGGCGTCTTTAAGGGCGCAGTGGACACCATACTGGGGATGATGACCAGTGACGTCCAAAACGGAGG